GGGTTACTCGGTGTTCATCACCAAAGGTCCCGTCACCCACCACGGTGGTCCTCTCCTCAAGGGTGATGTGAACCTCGCCATCTTATGGTACGGCAACGTCGGTCGCGTCCAGCAATCAGTCATCCGAAAATTCATCGGCTCGCTTAGCAAATGCAACCCCAACCTCGAGCCACAGGTCTCGACGTGGTGGAATATGGTAGAAAGTTATCAAAGTGCAGGCAGGCGTCAGCATGAGGGTGAGGCCGACCTTAAAAAGCCCTCTCCAGCTCCAATTCGGGTGCGTATCGTGAATCAGGCAGTCGACCGATCATATTCTTTGGGCAAAACCATAACTCCTGATTTGATACCCGGTCTTGTGAAAAAAGCAACCGAGGGAGCTTCACCGTCAACGGTGGCTGTCATCTTCACGGCGAGAGATGTTTCAGTTCAAACCCTGTGCACTGGCAAATGCTCAGACCATGGGTCGGTGGGTAAAGGGCGGTCATCTCAATTGTATGTGATGGTTGGGAACCCGATGGATGAATGCCCTCAGGATTGCGCTTGGCCCTTCTATAAAAGCGTGCAGAGGCCCATCACATTCCCAATGGTGCCACCAAACGGAGATGTGGGTGCTGATGCCATGGTCATTAGCTTTGCTCAAGCGCTTGCTGGTCTGGTCACAAATCCTTACCACAATGGCTACTTTCTGCAAGGTTATAGGCATCAGATCGAGGCCGCCACAGCATGTCCAACCATGTTCGGAAGTGGCTCATTCCCGGGCTACACCGGTAAGATGCGTGTTGATCCGAAGACTGGTGGATGCTTTAATGCACACGGGCCGGCTGGAGAGAAGTTCCTGCTCCCGGCACTATGGGACCCAGCCGCATCCTCCTGCTGGACCCTCATCTGATCTGATTAGTACCTACTACTGCTCCGTTTACTCCATGTTAGACGTTAGACTTGTGGCGTGTTTGAGAGTGAGAGAGAAAGAGAGAGGATCATGTTTCATGAAACGTTGAAATGTTTCTTACAACTCATGTAAAAGGAAACCTTGTCATGAATATAATTATTTGGTAAATACTTCAATTCTTATTTGGCATATAACATTAAATAAATTATATGTAATATTTATAATATTTTATTGAGTAAATCTCTTAAATTATTCCTACTGTTTCGCGTAATGACACGTGGTACATCTACTGTTTAACTACTGTTTTGCGGTATCTTTATGTTTTCTGACCGATTGTCATTGTCGTTAAGTAGTAACATAAGGAAACGAAATGTCAAATTTGCCCTTTTTTCCTCTTTCTTCCTCTTCAAGTTTGTTACTGCTATTAGTTAGTTATTAGTCTGTTATACAAGTTAGTTTGTTAGTAGGTTAGCTGAGCTGGAATCATTACGTGGCAACTTTGTATAGGCTCATTTCTTGTATAAATAGTAGTCATGCACTTTGTACAGTTTCGTTGAAGTAATACAAAAAAAAATTTTTTTCTATCTTCTGGAATTTTCTTCATGCTTGGATTTTCACATGGTATCAGAGCAAATCGATCCAGATTTGCTTTTCTTTTCGTTTTGATAACACGTTGAAGATTTACTTGTTGAAATCAATCCTAGATTTACTAGAATATGGAGGAGATTGAAGAACCTGCGATCTTAGTTGCACCTCAAGCTGGAAATGCGACAGTGCACAAAGAAATAGGGAGCATCTCCATTGAGCATCACCAATGGAGATGCAATGCTACTACAGAATTCAGATCATCCAGGGATGCAACTTGTTACGACTCCTTTGATAGGTAATAACTATTTGTCTTGGAGTAGACTGATTAAGATAGCTCTAGGAGCTAAGGTGAAGCTTGGATTTATCAATGGAAAGTGTGCTATGCCTAATGAAGAGTGTCCTAGTTTTGAACAATGGATTTGTGTGAACTGTATGGTTAGATCATGGATCTTGAACTCTATTTCCAAAGAAATAGTAGAAGCGTTTCTTTATGCTTCAACTGCTAGGGAACTTTGGATTGAATTAGAGGAGAGGTTTGGAGAGTCAAATGGACCACAAATCTATYAGATCCAACGAGAAATAAGCACTATTTCTCAGGGAAATCAATCAGTAGCAAAGTATTACACGAAGCTGAAGAAGTTGTGGGATGAATTGGCTTGCTTGTTGCCAACACCACAATGCACATGTAGAAACTGCACTTGTGGAGTTGCAAAGACTGTTTCAGATCTAGATTGTTCTAACAAGTTAATGCAGTTTTTAATGGGCCTCAATGATGGATTTGATAATGTTAGAAACCAGATCTTGGTGATGGCACCTTTGCCTTCAGTTAACAATGCATACTCTATGATTTTATGAGTGGAGAAACAGAGAGAGGTACAAGTTACCATGACTGAGAATGCGGAGAACTCAGCAATGTTTGTAAGAGCACCTATGGGAAAATGATCTAATGCTGGAAGGGGAAATAATAAGAGATCTGATTTTGATAAGAATCATAATGATAAGAAGAATGAGAAGTATGAAAAGTTGCACTGTGATCATTGTAACATGGGAGGCCACACTAAGGATACCTGCTTCAAGTTGCATGGATATCCTGAGTGCTATAAAGAACTTAAGGAACAAAGGAACAAAATGGCAAGAGGAAGAAATGTGGCTAATATGGCTGATAATCCTTTGGATGCAAACATGGATCAAGTTGTTAGCAAGGCAATATATCAGAATTTATCTTTGGCAGAAATGATTCAGCAGGAGCTATCAAAGATGATGAAGGGGAAGGCTATGATTGACAGCAATCATGTAAATTTCGCACACATTGGTGACTTTGTAGGTAACAATCCTAATTGTGCTTTTCATTTTGCTTTGCATTCATTTGATAATTTGGACTGTGGAACATGGATAGTGGACACGGGTGCATCAAATCACATGTGCATTGATAACAAATTAATTCATAAACCAAAACCAGTAACTCAAATTACTCCAGTTTTCTTACTAGATGGTTCTGTTAAACTTGTACACCATATAGGTGATGTATCCCTTACACCCAAATTAACTTTGACCGATGCCCTTTGTGTTCCTAGTTTCAAATATAACCTACTTTCAGTAAATAAACTTTCAAAGACTGTACAACTTAAATTTGAGTTTTATCCTAACAAATGTATATTGTAGGACCTTCAGACTGAAGCAGTATTAGTAGTTGGTAAAGTGGTTGGGAACTTGTACATTTTAGATTAGACAAATCTTCATTTCATGATTCATCATTACTTGTTTCCTGTAATAATCAGATTGACTTGAATAAATCTTCATCTGATTTTGCTTTTAATTCAGTCAATCTTCCTTGTAATGTTTCTGTTAATATTAATAAAGATTCAAAAATTTTGTGGCATAACAGACGTAGTCATGCTTTTTTTTAGTTTCTTCAGCATCTTTCTTTCTTAAATGGCATTGATACAACACTTCTCTCACCATGTGATATTTGTCACAAATCAAAACAACACAGGTTACCTTTTTCCACTTAGCACTACTAGGTCAAATTCTGTTTTTGATCTTTTACACATTGATTTGTGGGGACCTTATTAGCAAGCATTTATCATTGGGGCACATTACATGCTTACTGTGGTAGATGATTATAGTAGGGAAACTTAGGCTTTTTTTCTTGCTCACAAGCATCAAACCTTACAAACTTTAAAGACTTTCTTTCAAATGATACAAACTCAATTTCAGAAACAAGTTAAATAATTAGGATAGATAATGGATCCGAATTTACTAGTCAAGAGTGCCAAAATTTTTTGTCTTAGTTAGGAATTTTATAACAAAAGAGTTGTGTTTATACTCCTCAACAAAATGGTATTGTTGAAAGGAAGCATAAACATCTATTACAGATAGCTAGAGCTCTCAAGTTTTAGGCACATATGCCTACAAAATTTTGGGGTCATTCACTTTTGATGGCTGTATACATCATCAATAGGCTGCCTACCAGTATCTTAGGTTGGAAAACCCCTTATGAGCTTCTTCATAATCAAAAAACAGATTATAGCTTGTTAAAGTGCTTTGGGTGCTTATGCTATGCCACTAATACTAGGCCACATAAGGATAAATTTGAAACAAGGGCATATAGGTGTGTGTTTGTTGGATTTGTGACAGGTCAAAAGGCTTATAGAGTTTATGATTTAGATTCTCGTCAGTTTTATACATCAAAAGATGTGATTTTTCATGAGACTGTTTTTCCTTTTGCAAATATTTCTGATGACAGCAGTGAAGTGTCTTTGCCTATTCCTTTCCTTGATCCAGTTAATTTCCCACAAAATTCTTTGACACCAACTACTTTGAATCAGAACATTGTTCAAGATATTCCTTCTTCTTTTGAACCTTCTTCTGTTGACATTAATTTACAGTCTCAACAGTCTTTGACACCAATTCATTCCTCACCTGAATTGTATCATTCTCCTGTTTCTGTTTCTTCAGATGTTCATATTCCTACCATAAGACACAGTACTAGACAAAGATTCAAACCAGCACGGATGAGTGATTATGTATCTAATGTGTCAGTTCCTACAAATTTATCTACTGCTATTACAACTTCTGTTACAGCCTATACACCTAACTCTTCTGCCCGCACACCACTAACATTTCCTTACACTAAATCACCTATATTCACTAATGCATACATGTCATTTCTTGCCAATGTGTCCTCTATTCCTGAACCTAGTTCATATTATCAAGCAACCAAAAATGAAAAATGGATTTGAGGCTATGAATAAGGAGTTGCAGGTTCTAGAATCTAATCATACGTGGGAATTGGTTAGCCTACCACAAAAAAAAGGCAATCGGATGCAAATGGGCTTATAAAGTGAAATATCTCCCAGATGGTACTGTTGATAGGTACAAAACAAGGTTGGTAGCAAAGGGGTATCATCAGATTGAAGGGGTAGATTACTCGGATAGTTTTTCTCCAGTAGCAAAACATGTTACAGTGAGGATCTTCCTGGCTATAGCTACTGCTAAGAATTGAGCTTTGCATCAATTAGATATGTATAATGCATTTTTACATGGTTATCTTGATGAAGAAGTTTTTATGCTACCACCTCCAAGCTATACTAAAGCTAAGCCAAATGAAGTTTGCTTGTCAAAAAGGTCTTTGTATGGTTTAAAGCAGGTTTCTCGCCAATGGAATGTTGAGTTTTGTGCTAAACTTCAAGCTTATGGGTTTGTCCAGAGTGCACATGATCATTGTCTCTTCATTAAGAAGACTTCTACTTCAATTTTAGCCTTACTAGTGTATGTAGATGATGTTCTTGTTACTGGAACTCATGAGTCTGAGATTAAGAAGGTCAAACAGTTTCTTCATGAAAAACATGGGGTATGCTAAATATTTTTTAGGCCTTAAAATTGCAAGGGGTTCTGATGGAACTTATGTCAATCAAAGAAAATATGTGTCAATCCAGAGTGCACATTATCATTGTCTCTTCACTAAGAAGACTTCTACTTCAATTTTAGCCTTATTAGTGTATGTAGATGATGTTCTTGTTACTGGAACTCATGAGTCTGAGATTAAGAAGGTCAAACAGTTTCTTCATGACACGTTTACTATTAAAGACATGGAGTATGCTAAATATTTTTTAGGCCTTAAAATTGCAAGGGGTTCTGATGGAACTTATGTCAATCAAAGAAAATATGTGTTAGATATTTTGCAAGATTTCGGCCTTCTTGGAGCTAAACCTATTGTTACATCATTGCCAAAGGGGCAAAAATTTTCTTCTACTGTTAGTTACTTGGATGAACCAGAGAAATATTGCAAGTTAGTTGGTAGATTGTTGTATCTCAATCTCACCAGGCCAGACATATCTTATGTTGTCCAACAGCTTAGTCAATATGTGCACTCTCATACTCAAGATCATTGGCAAGCAACACTTCATGTTCTCAAGTATCTCAAGGGTACACCTTCCAGAGGTTTGTTTTTCTCATCTAATAATAATCTGTCCCTTGAAGCCTTTTGTGATGCAGACTGGGCTGCATGTAAAGAGTCCTGCAAGTCACTCACTGTCAGCAGGTCTTCAGCTGAGGCAGAATATAGAAGCCTTGCTTTTACTGTTTGTGAGCTCCAATGGATTAGTTATATTTTGCAGGATTTTCAAGTCAGCCCTCCTTTGCCAATCCCTCTTTGGTGCAATAACATGGCAGCTTTACATATTACTATCAACTCAGTGTTCCACAAAACTTACAAAGCACCTACAGATTGATTGTCATCTTGTTCGTGATAAGTATAAAGCTGGTTTTGTTTTTTCTAAGCACATTTCTACCTAATTGCATGTTTTTACCAAGAGTCTTACCGGCCCTCAGTTTTATTCTATTGTTTCCAAGTTGGGCTTGGTTGATTTACATCAAACTCAAGCTCCAACTTGAGGGGGGATGTGCAGAATATATATTATTTATTCTTGTTAGTAGGTTAACTGAGATGAAAGCATTACGTGGTAGCTTTGTATAGGTTCATTTCTTGTATTAGTTGAAGTAATACAGACAATTTTTTTTCTCTATCTTCTGGAATTTTCTTCATGCTTGGATTTTCACAGAGAGATGGGGTTTGAACTGTTGCTTCTAACAATGGTGCATCTGTGCTCTGCAACTAATTACAGTCCAGTCCAAGCTGGATTCTCTGTCTCTCCTTCTGATCCCGCCCGAGCCAGTTCGTTGCAAGCCACTTCTGATCACCAAAGCATTGAATTGATTAGATCGGCATAATAGCCGGCCGATCAGGCATAGTATTATCAGCCTTCTTCTTCCTCCCTGATAAATTCAATCAAAACGCAAAACAAAAATAAAGAGCATAGCACAGCCACAACATCAATCACAGTATCCTATCCTGGGCCTGCCGGCGCTAATGGCAGAAAGTTTTGAATTCGAGGAGATACACTGTTCATTTTCTTTTACCTCTCGAACCTTAACCAACCTAAACCAGAGGTGGCGACGACCTTTTCTCCTTCGTCTCTTCTCCTGCTCCATTTTTTCCCATCTTCTTTTCTCATTCTCTTTCTCTCCATTTTTATTGTTCTTTCCCTCCCCAATCGAAATAATTCCCGATTTCTTACCGTTCATCATCCCTGAGAAGGTGATGACACAACGACAAGCAAACTGTGGCAAGGGAGATCGATCTCCTCTATCCTTTTTCGTTCAATTCTTTTTTTATTTTTTTAGATTTTCTCTGATTTTGCTTCTCGGTTAGCCACCGCAACGTCTTTCTTTCCCCAGATCTCACTGCTGCCACTGCAAGTTCCTGGCAGCGGCGGTGACCTCCCCCATTTCTTTCCCCACATTTTTCCTTCTCTTTCTCTCTTCTTCTCTTCTCTCTCTACATCTCTCGGTGTCGTTCCCGACCCCTTCCCATTCATTCTATCTACTACAATTAGTTGCAGCATCGAACCTCCACCAACAACTATCAAACTCTTGCCCATTTCATTACTGCCACTGCAACATCAGAATCTTCCTCCTCTCTTTGTCATTTTGGCACAAAGCCCCCACCCTCCGGCTACGGTTATGAGCCTCAGACAGCGCCCAGCTGTCAGACGGCGAAACCGAAGCTATGAGCCTCAGACAGCGCCCAGCTGCGGCCGCCGCTCGCGGTGGTGGTCCGGACCATTTCTCCGGCTACGGTTCCACCCCGCCACAAGCCAACGACTATGAAGAACCTTTCAACATCATCCCCGTCCACAACCTCCTCGCTGATCACCCCTCTCTCCGCTACCCCGAAGTCCGCGCCGCCGCTGCCGCACTGCGTGCCGTCGGCGACCTCCGTAAACCCCCATACGGTGAGGCGGCTTGTTTCTGCTATTGTACAGAAGATAGGGACTGAACAAACGCTTCATCCCAGACCGAGATCTGGTTTCGATCTAACGATGTGGCTGATGACCCTCGGCGGTATTTCTGCTTCTGCTCAGCAGAGCTGCTCGGTTTCGATCTAACGATGGCAGCTGATGACCCTTTGCCATCTCCTTACTTGTTTCCATCAGCAAGGTAACCTCCGGTAGAAGCCCTACTGTTGAGGAGAAATACGAGCGACAACTGTTGAGCAGAAGCAGAGTAGGAGAAATTTGAAGTTTCGATTACTTTCTAGTTTCCCCTGTAAAATAACGAAGTCTCAGCTTTTAGGGATTTCAGGAAGAACATACTTCGGCTTATTTGTTTGTATTCCTCCCTCAAAACCCTAAATTTTCGTTTCTTGCAAGTCCAAGATGAGCAGCCAAGTAGCTCCTCGGAGGAGGAGAACAAGCCTGAATCTAAGACGTGGTGTGGTCCTTCGAGCTTGAAGAAATCGGTCCCTATTGAGAAGGGCTACAGCAATGGAACCCATGTGAAGCCCATCTCTCCTAGCCACTTGTCTCTTGGTGAGGAGAGGACGGTGAATAAGCTGAGGTTGTCGAAAGCACTAACGATTCTCATGATAGGATATAGACGACGACAGTGGTGACGATGGCAGCAGAGAAACAGGGAGTGAAACAGTTGTAGAGTGGTTCATTGTAGTTGCTGCCCGGGAGAGGAATGGTGAAGAAGAAGGGAGAGGGACAAAGGGTAAAATTGTATTTTGAAAAAAATTCATACATCACGTATAGTAAGGGTAGTTTAAGAGATTTACCCTATTTTATTATATAAGGCCCTATTCACTTTTATAGTTATTTGTATAAGCAAATGTAGTTACTTTAGAAAACACTTAGTCAATTAAGTGTATTTATCCATATTCTTTAATTTATCATGTAAATAAGGTAATGATCATTTTAGCCATAAAAATCTATTATTAAAGGGGGCATTTTTGTTTCATTCAAGTATTGGCAATTTTTCCTTAGGTGAGAGTTATTTATCCGCATAGGAGATGAATAAACTTTCCCTAATCCCTACATAAATCTTAAAAAAGAACATGAGGTTCTTGGTCAATTCCCCCACCCCCCCTCTCCTCTCAAAATCCAAAAAATAACAACACCCCCTAAATATAAAAGTACCATGCGATGCATGTGAATTGTGAATAAGAATTGTTGGGCTTTTAAATAATTAATTAATCCATTCTTGAAAACTTTTTGAAGCCTACTCATTATTTAAAATTAATTAAGTTTAATCTATTTTTAATATATAAATAATTACCCACAAATAATAGTTTAATTAATAATTAATTACTTAAAACTTTTCATGAAAGCCAATAACTAATTAAACTTTAACGATTGATAAAATTTTAAATAACTAAGTAACTCAGAAAATTTTGTTTAGGAGTGGATAAAGTGATTGATGCAACCATAAAACTTAACCAAATTGAAAGTTAGCTAAGCATAACATTTTACTAATGTAAAATCTATAGGAGAGGTTCAAGTAATTTGTCCAATATTTAAAAGTTTTTTAAAGCTTATGCAATATTTAAAGTTAATTAGATTGAATTTGGAAAGAATACAAATGCGAATATGTAGAATGTAAAACTTTATATTTTATATTATTTTATATGTATTTACGCTATACATATTTACATTTATACTCTTTCCAAACTGAGCCTTATGTTTTATATAAGTTAAGTATCTTTTTGTTGTTTTATGTTCTCTTTCATTTTGGACCGTTTTGTAAAACTGGTATACCCGGGCTGAGTCCGGTTTAAACTTTATCATAGAAAGTTAGCAAAGTGCAGGCGGATGTTGGCGTGAGGGTGAGAGCAACCTTACAAAGTCCTCTCTAGCTCCAATTCGGGGGTGTGCACCGTGAATCAGACAGCCGATCGATCATATTCTTTCGGTAAAACCATAACCCCGAATTCCGAATTTGATACCTGGTCTTGTGATAAAAGAAATCGAGGGAGTTTCACCGTCAACTATGGTTGTCATCCACTCATCCTCACGGCGAGAGATGTTTCGATCCAAACACTGCACCGACAAATTCTCAGACCATGGGTCGGTGGGTAAAGGGCCGTCATCTCAATTCTCAATTGTATGTGATGGTTGGGAACCCGATGGATGAATACCCTCAGGATTGCACTTGGCCCTTCTATAAAAGTGTGTTGAGGCCCATGACATTCCCAATGGTGCCACTAATGGAGATGTGGGTACTGATGCCATAGTCATTAGCCTTGCTCAAGTGCTTGCTGGTCTAGTCATAAATCCTTACCATAATGGCTACTTCCTACAAGGTTATAAGCATCAGATCGAGGCCGCCACAGCTTGTCCAAACATGTTCGGAAGTGGCGCACACCGGCACATGGGTCGGGTGGAGAGAAGTCCCTGCTACATTCATTGTGGAGAGTAACTCAAATGCCGAGTTGGGGAATTTGCCAAGTCAATAAGCAAAAAGATAGTATTAGACTGTTTGGGTTGTTTTACTTTGGGTGGACACTCTAATGCTTAAGTCAGTAAATTGAAAATTTTAGAGAGAGTTAAAGAAAGAAAGAGTTAGAGTGCTTGAAAATTGAATCGTGCGTACCTTCTTTGAGGGAGAGGACGCCTTTATATAGGCGTAAGAAACCGGGAGCTTCCTGTAACGCATCCAAGAGTCTCGAGAAATCATGTCCGCTATGTTCGGAGATCTCTTTGTCGTATACGTGATACACACAGAGGGATAAGGTCCATTCGATCAATTCCAATGCGGACGATGTGGATTGACGGGTCTAACGATTGAGGGTTGTTATGGGCCCGGGAATAGGATCGTGTCACGTGTCGGTCCACAGGGAAAAGCTCATGTTTTTCCTTGTTCCTCTCCTTCCTAGCTGAACCTATCTTGGCATCCTAGAGGGTGATTTGTCCAAGAGATCACCGAACTCTCCTTTTACTCTCTTTCTTGATTGGAAATTTGATATCTCTATTCAATCATTTCAGCTCCTTAAAAAAGAGATTACAAGAGGTAAGAGTCCTCCTTGTAGGAAGACTCCTTGATAACTAAACTGCTTACAGATAAGATAGATAAGACTCCTAGATAAGACTGTTAGGATAAGATAAGTTTCTCCTAATCCTAATCTGATAAGATAAGTAAGATAAGTCTCTCCTAATCTGATAAGATAAGATAAACTAATCCTAATCTGATAACTTACTAACAAGATAAGATAAGAGMAATAGAATAAGATAAGAACAAGCAAGATGATCTAATCTAATCTGGCGGTGGGTCAGGTTCCTGTTGCTGCTGGCGGCAATGGTACGTATTTCCGAGGAATGCGTCCATAACAAGGGTCGTGATTTCAAAGAAGTCGAAAACAATAACTCACTCAAGGAGGAGGTCACCCGGCAAG